TTTTTTTTTTTTTCTTTGTTGTTCGGGTGTGATGTTCTTGACGATGGAATGGTACTTGGGGCGTCGTGTATGGATGTGCAGTGTATTCTGATGTACTTCACTGCATCGGAATTCGTCAACCAAACTGTTCAAGCAAACGAAATGAATATGTCACTCGCACAGGGTCCGGGGGATGTTATATGCTAGGTTACCAATGGTCCGGGGGCCGGTCGTCTCCTCCGGATGTCGCCCCATACGTCCGGTACCCCCGTCGTCCGGAAAAACAATTTTTGTTTTCAATTTTTTTTTTTTTTTTCTTTCGGTTTTTTATTTTTAACTCATGATTGGATGCGAATTTGAACATGTATCATCATGATCACAGTATCACGTCAAGCCAAGCCAACTCAAAGAGCAAACTAGACGAGACAGGTGTGAGCGTAAAAAACAGAATTCCTTACGGCACCCAATCAACAGTCCGCATACCCAAGAACGCCGATCGTACCACGAACCCGTCCCACCGCCGCTATAAGCGGTGGCGGGCGCACCGTGAGAGGAGCTCCGAAATCATTCTCACACTACTCATAGTTCAGTGGCAAAAGGATATGCACCCGGTACAGGCCTACGGCATCCCGTTCCGGGGCAAAGGACTCACACGCTAATTCCACCTATCATTTATTACGCAGACCTATAGTTGCACCTAGTCAACCAACCCGGTACCAGGGACAACCAGTCCTGCTTCAAACATCCGACGAGAGTACGAGGTGTCAGCCTCTATACCGGCCTGAATCTAACAATCATAGGTCAAAACAAAACAGGTCTACATAAGCAAACTGCTATCAGAGCCAAAGACAGACGAACACCAAACAGACGAACCTTCAACCCCTATACTGGYCTAAATCTAACAATCACAGGTCAAACAAAACCCGTCTACTTAAGCAAAACTGCTATCAGAGCCAAACAAACGAACACCAAAACCGTAGAACAAAACACAACAAAACACGTCAGTACTGCCATTGTGGTCCTACACCCTGTCCAAACATAGCTACTAGTCGTCAAAACGGGTGCTCACCCAAACCTTCGCAGAATCCTATCGAAAAAACTTGTTGGAACATCTTTCAGTCTAAGTTCACATTTTAGTGACAACACTCGACCCGGGATTTCGCTCCGGATGGTGGTGTTCCGATCAATACGGTGCAGATAGCTGGTGATAGTCGCACTCTTCTCTTGTTTGCTACCCCAAGAAAGGAAAGACTGACCATTCTGAAACTCCGGCTCCCCCGTTGTCCATATGCTCTCCTCGTTCCGAGACATCTGTACGCAGCTCAGGTATGGGTACACCTTTACATATCTCACTTCACATCCAAGGAATCCGCTACCATTGTCCGTTCTCTTCAAGCAAAGGTTGCGAGGGTAACACTCCTTGAATCGCTGTAATACCCAACTCAGAGACTCTCCTGCCAATGAGGCAACGATCAGGATCACATCGTCATTTAATCTGACGCCAAACACCAAATGCCCCAATCGACCCAAACTGTGCATATACTGTGTCTCTGCGTATGCGCATAAAATGCATGCCAGGGGAGGGCTCGGTCTCTTCCCCATTGTAATACCCACATCCTGCCTAAGCAGGAGTGTGGTAGCGACAGTGTATGTATGTCGCATGTCAATCTTGATAAAATTCCTCAGTTCTTTGAAGTCCACCTTCCTCCAGTGGTCTGCCCCCGTTGTCAACCCGAATGATGCTCCTCGCCCTCTAGTATTTACTCGAACAAAGGTCCTACCCTTCTTCGTATGATGACTCAGTATCCATTCGACTGCACGCAGGATGTTCCCGTGGGGCAACTGAGAGAACATGTCTTTAATGTCGTAAGACTGTGCCGTGATCCCATCCAAACACCCCAGTCGCTTAATTCTACGATAACCATTGATGTTCTCCAATCGTGATGTCAATTGGGATACTGCAGGGAGGTTAAAGTGACTTTCGGCAGACATTCTGGATAACAAAAAATTTAGATCTCGAGCCACGGCCCTGCTGGTGCGAACCATTGGTTCGCAGAAGGTAGGACATATGGGGAGAAATCTAGCTAAATCTTTATGTTTCGGAATGACATATGCGGCCCCCAACTTGCCCTTATTATCCCAACGGACAAAATTATGTAAACCCGCCTCCCTCATATCTTCTCTTACCTCCCGAAGCACCACTGATTCAGACACAGGCATGACAGTGTATCCTGTGCTCCTAACAAACTTATCCATCATTGCTTCGTAGTAAGTTTTCGGACACATGACTACGGTCTCACCCTGATTTCAATCCAATGGAAGCTCTCCGAGGATACGCTTAGCTTACCACCTGGAAAGTTTCTCCAGTTCCTAAAACCTTGTTCAACTTCCACCCTTAGGCGATGTAGCCGATCTCTCATTTGTGAACGTGGGATGTTATTTGCATTAGCTAATAGAGGGTGATTAACCACTTCCTTCCTCAAACGAAACAACACGTGTCCATCCACTCGGGGATAGGGTAGGCATGTGCATTGACAGGTCAGCACACTGCGGGATGCAAACTCCCGATGATTGTGCAGGATCTCGCCGACAGTCCGGTTCGTTTTCCAGACTATCCGAGTCTTCTTCCGTGCTCTACGCAAGAAGCAGGTGGGTAAGTCACAGTTACCCAGGGTGTTGTTAACTACCTTACGCAATTCACATAAACCGATCCTATCGTCAAACAAGACTTTGACCAAAAGATCCGCGCTTAAACTCAGATTGAACTTGTCGAGGAAGACACGCGAGACCATTCGTCTCAAATATTTCCTGGTTGAATTTTTTGAAAAGTCCTTAATAGAATTGTACAAGCGTAACATCGATGGCATATCCCAATCATAGATCTTGCCGATATCCCTAGGACATTTCAAAAAAGAAACCAAGTAACGTTTCAAAAATCCACACTGTGGTTTCCATTCGACAGCGTACTCCACCACGATACATCCCCCTTTCTCAAACCATGATTTATAATGTTTCAGCAGGCTGGTCTCAGATCCCCTTCATAGCTTAGTAGCTCCAAACCTTCTAGAGATCACTTTCCATGCTGTCTGCCAAGCATTATCACCACTGGTGTAGATCTTAAAGTTGTAGACCCTTCTAGACACTTGTTCCTTCAATACCGCAAACAGATCCAATTGCCAATCGTCTTGCACGTTAGTTCTGAAACGAACGGGTGCTATGACACGTTGTTTATCCTGTCCATGACCCCTCTTACGACTTTTTTCCTTCTTTCCCAGTGACTTCCCTTTCCCAGTGCGACGTTTCCCTGATCGGACACCTGATTTATTCAAGTGCGGAGACCACTGACGTATGTACACGCTCTCGAGCTTAGTCAGCTTATCTTTGCCTATCGTATCAATCGATATCAACACGTAATTCTCAGTGCCAAAGGATCCCAACCATCTGTAAAAATGAGTCAGTGTCCGCTTCCGACTTGCATACAAATGTCCCCGCCAGCGCACATTTAAGTGTCTAGATGCTTTACCGATATATTGTGACTTGCAGTATGGGGACACCGCTACATACACGCTAGAGGTCAAATTAACGAATTCCGTGCCGAACAAATCGAACAAGCGTATCCATGCTACAATGCACTTGCGTGTCCAACATAGAACTTCACACAGCGACAGGTCAACTAACGCTAGTCGAAGCAGTTCCTCGATTCTGTAGTCTATCCCATCGAGTAATCCCCGAATCGTAGTAAGGCAGTTCACTATACCCCACAAATCAGCAATATTGAGGCCACATCACACGCCTGTAGCTTCGTCCTCGGCATCAACCCTTACCTCCTTGTCTTCCTCGCCAGATGAGTGTTCATCCTCATCATCTTCTGCCCCGTAGGCGACCTGTGTACGGTGTGCCGCGATGTCAAAAACCGATTCGAATTTGCCATTATACGGAATCCGTTCGTCTTTGCAAATATTCTGCAACACCAAATCGTCCAAGCTTTTCAGATCGTTCATAACCTTCTTCTCAAATCGCAGTCTCCCGACAAGTCCCATGACTGTCGGCTTCTTCTTTCGAATTGAAGGCGGTGTCTTCTTCGGAGTGGGGGTCTTCATCGTCTTGCATCGGGCTCTCGTCAATCTCCCAGTCCGCCGAGGAGTACGTTTAAGAGGTAGCTCCATAGGAGGGCTACCCTCCAAAACCGTTTCCGGCCCTCTCATCCGCTTCTCTGCGAGGCTGAGGTTCCGTGTATGTAGGTTGAGCTCTTCGGTTTCGCTGCTATTAACTCTGCTCTCCGCTACGGCCTCCATTTGAGGTACCTGTTGTTTGCCACGTGCCACCACCGTGCACAACTCTCCAATAGCCTCACGCATCTCGTGCCGCACGTCGTCACGAACTTCGTCTCGAAGTTCTCCCACTCGTAGCGCCATCTTGATTTCCAAACACTTACGTATCTCCTCCTTCCTTTCCGCCTCCTTACGTGCTTTGTCCTCCTTCTTCTTCCTTTTCTGTTCAGCTTCTTCTTGCTCGGCTGCTGCACGCTCCTCCACTGCCTTCTTCTCGGCCTTCCTCCGTTCCTTCATTAGCTTCTTCTGCTGTTCCAATTCGACATAGTGACAGACCGCGGCTACGCTCTTACCAATTTCAACCACCTTAGACTCCAGCTCACCTTTCTGTTGATCGCTTGGTTCTCCGTAGTCACCCACGGTCCCCCTGCCTGGGTTAGAATTCCTCCGGGGATGGGGGCATTGGTTAGCATAGTGCCCCGGTTCCCTGCAGTTGTAGCAAGTAGGTGGTCCTCTCCGTGGTCCTCGATCATAGTACCGGTCGCCATGTCTGTCCCCACTCGGGGCTCTATCGCTCTCATAGCCTCTATCACTCCCGTAACCACGGTGTCTACCACCATGTTCTCGGTCACCGCTGCTCCGCTCGCGACCGCTTCGTTCGTAATCATGACTACTGCCTCCGTAGTCTCGACGTTCCCCGTATCCCGCCATGTCGCCGCTAGCGCAACGTCACTGGTACAGTAACTCTCTCCAAAGTCGCCTAGTAGTCACCTGAAAGGTCAAAAACGTGCTCACTCGTCCCAGCAGCGTAACTCCAGGATAGTTCACATGCGAAATGATAGTATCATCATCATCACAGTATCACGTCAAGCCAAGCCAACTCAAATAGCAAACTAGACGAGACAAGTGTGAGCGTAAAAAACAGAATTCCTTACGACACCCAATCAACAGTCCGCATACCCAAGAACGTCGATCGTACCACGAACCCGTCCCACCGCCGCTATAAGCGGTGGCGGGCGCACCGTGAGAGGAGCTCCGAAATCATTCTCACACTACTTATAGTTCAGTGGCAAAAGGATATGCACCCGGTACAGGCCTCCGACATCCCGTTCCAGAGCAAAGGACTCACATGCTAATTCCACCTATCAGTTATTACGCAGACCTATAGTTGCACCTAGTCATCCAACCCGTTACCAGGGACAACCAGTCCTGCTCCAAACATCCGACAAGAGTACGAGCCGTCAGCCCCTATACCGGCCTGAATCTAACAATCATAGGTCAAAACAAAACACGTCTACATAAGCAAACTGCTATCAGAGCCAAAGACAGATGAACACCAAACAGACGAACCTTCAACCCCTATACTGGCCTAAATCTAACAATCACAGGTCAAACAAAACCCGTCTACTTAAGCAAAACTGCTATCAGAGCCAAACAAACGAACACCAAAACCGTAGAACAAAACACAACAAAACACGTCAGTACTGCCATTGTGGTCCTACACCCTGTCCAAACATAGCTACTAGTCGTCAAAACGGGTGCTTACCCATGACCCTGCCCCTGTCTGACCGTTTCTCCTCAATCACCACCCAGTCAGGAAATCTATCACAGCCAAACAAACGAACACCAAAACCGTAGAACAAAACACAACAAAACACGTCAGTACTGCCATTCAACATGACTCCAAGGCAAAAGTTGCTTGCATTGTTATGTCACATTATGTTTCACATAACATATATTTTTTCAGATTTTTCTGAGAACCTTTTTTTTTTTTTTTTTTTTTTTTTTTTTGCGCTAGGTCGGAATTACCCTGTCCGGTCGGACATCCCGGACGGTCAGGGGGGTCCCGGACGTCCGATCCAACAACCTAGGTTATATGCAATTTCGTAAATGTATTGTTGAAAGTGAGTTTGTTGTTCAACGTTATGCGTGTCAATTATTTATAAGACGTACGCCCCTTGAAATGCAATGCCATGTGTTTTGTCCCTCCATCTCGCACTTTGCAACCTTCATTGCTTGTATCACGTGCAATAAATTGTTAGGTCGTTGGACATGAACATGTTCCGGGAGGGAATTGGGGTTGTAAAAATGTTTGCCACAAGGTGCTCCATAGAGCGAGAAACAGGAGAGAGACGAAATACAAAAACACACGACTGTGCAATCTCCGCCAACGAGGAAAACAAAAATTCATTTCAACTTTTTCGAAGTACACGAACGGAAAAATGTTCAGGAAAGGTAAAAAAAACACATCGTCTGAACCCGTCTATCCGTTCATTATGACGAAACATGACCCTTTGCTACGTTGCATAGAGTACACGTACGGGGGCTTCCCGTACGAAACGTACAGGTTATTTCTGTACGGGATCTGTACGGGAACCTGTACGTCTTGTACGCCCCCGTACGAAAAAGCAAAAAAA